GGGTTGCGATCCGTTGCCGGTCACGAAAAAAGACAAAAAGGAAAAAAAAAAAAAAAGAAACGTGTTCTTGTATTAATAATAGCTTTACAATAGGCTCAAAGGAAAAGGGGGGAGGGATTGGTAAGGGTTTTTAACCTATAGTATTAAGAACATATGAGGAAAAGATGAGAACCTTGTGATTGTTACTTTCCTCTGGTGGGAGAGTTCATGAAGGGAAGTGGCTGTAACATTAAATGAACTGTTATCACATAGCAAACTTCTAGGAATGTGAGTCACAAAGTTTCCGTTTTCCCTCCTTGGGGAGTTTTTAGCATGTGAAACAGAAAGCAAGAGGACAATAACATACTGACTCTCCATTTGGTTCCTTTTATTTTTTCCAATGTTTGTGTCCCCAAATTCAGGAAGCTGCAAATACTATTGGAAGCTTGGAAATGTTACGAAATGTGACTATTATTTAAACAATTTCTAAAGAGGGATTTACACTGTATTTCAATAAAACTTTTAATGAAGATACAGACATCTGAAATAAATGCCAGGAAAACTTTAAAGTATGCAATCAATGTTTGATTAGGAATTGCAAACTTTAATTGACATTATCTTTGTTTCTGTCTTAAATTTGGATTTCACTGTACATGTATTTTTAAACTTTACTTTTATCTTAAAAATTTTTCTTTGGGATTTACTTGATAAATTTGATGTCAAATTAGTAGGTCCTGAATCACACTGAGTGACTGAATTTTTTCATTTGCATGTATTTAAAAACAGTCTATTTCTTTCTCATGTCTACTAAAGAGATAAGATAGGAAGCAATGTCAATTAAAAACAGTGACACTGAACATCAGAGATTATCTGAACCAAACACAAATTTGAACCTTTTCAGAATAAAAATTCAATCACCAATCTCTTTGAAAACAGACAAATGGTTAATATGCCATATGAATGATACTGAAAGATGGGTAAACTCTATTATGATATGTGTTAGTGCAATTTTATAAATGCACATGTATTTGCATATTGATGCCAATCAACTCAAAGAATTCTTTATTTCAGGGACAAAACCTCAGGGAGAGGTTTGATTTTACTATAGGTCCAATGATGGATGGTTCAATGGGGAAGATTTTCATAGAATGTTATACTGTTGACGACTTTTCCAAAGAAGTTAGTTTGCAAAACAGGTACACAGATATTTTAAGTACAGTTAGTAGTAGTGACTTACAATACCACTAAGATATAGTTATTATTTATAATAAAAATAGAAAATTTAAATTGGATATTATTTAAAATTTAAGGTATATATTATTAGCCTCAGACCTCGATTTTCTATTATTACCTTTTATTACCGTAAATAATATTTCTGTGGATCAGCATATCCCAAAGTGCATTCTCAGGAACACTAGTACTCCAAACGTGTCACAAAAAATGTGTTATACATCAAATAAGTTAGATAAAAGCTATGTATTATAAAACATAATTTATAATTATTTTAGGTGTGATTGTGGTTTTGTGATTTTGTTAAAAAAATGATCTTTTTGAGATGCATAATAAAGTATTCATGAATGAAATGATGCGATTTCCAGGATTTACTTTCACATTTTATGGAAGTAGGGAAAGAGCATGGGAGTGGGACGGGCTGTGTTAGCTGTGGGTTGATGTTACTGGGTTTGAGTGATGAGTACATGAGGGTTCATTACACTACCCAGACTACATTTGTATGTATTTTGCATATATTAGAAATTCTCCCCAACAAAAAGTAAAAAAATAAATAAATAAAAGATGAATATCTCTTAAAGATTTTACAATGAATTACAGAGCTGAAAGGAATTCTGGGTAAAAGGTCCATTTGTTTATTTGGGCTCTTCCCAAACTTAATGACCACTGTACTATTCTTTTTAAGGAACATCTATTAATATCTCTCCTGGATGCTTTGGGAACAGCTATGTAATAATAGAACTAATGTTTTTCCATGTATCATTGTCCATGATAATTCTAGGTTTCTAGCATATAAAAAGTTTTATCTACATGTAGAAAAACATTAAGTAAAATGTGAAATTAAAAAAAATCTTTTATTTTTCCAAATTCTTAGAGATTTGTAATAAGTAAAACATCTGACTTTTTAAAAAAATTTATAGATATTTATTCTGTATGTAATTGTAACCTCAGAAATATTGTTAAAAGAAGTGAAATTTCAAAAAGAAAGAATGAATGGTAGTACATATTTCAAAAGGTAAGAAGCAATTCTTTTTGATTGAATATTAGCCATAAATCTAGTTACAAACATTTAATAGCTATGTAAAAAGCTCTTTAAAAAAAACCCTTACATATCATTATCAACATCAATAATTTTATTTTTATATTTTTCCCAAATTTCTATAAAATTGAAGAATCTGATAAAATTCCACTTGTATACCCATAAGATATTTTTCATTCTAGAAAAATTATATTAGGTAGAGATATTCCTCAAAATAAAATTTACATTTTTATATAAAATGCTTTGTAATTTTGCATGCCTAAGAAGCTACATTTTAGTTTCTAAATAAATTAAAGGAGTTTATTATTTTTAAAAAATAAATTATACATACCTTTTAAAATTTGCATCTAAATACACAGCCTGTATTACTATTTGTCGGTGTCCTTTATTTCTAGCTTTTCAGAGACTAGCAAACTTTTTTTATTGTTGACTTTTATGAAAATTCAACCAAGAACATTTGCCTTTATTATAATATACTGCCAAAATTGCATTAATTTCCATTGATGCCCATTAATTTGATAAATGTTTTGTCATTTGTACCATTTGTACTGTCAAAACAAGTTAATTATATCTTACTGACATTTTTGACAATTGCTTTAACTCCGGCATAAAAAAAAAAAGGGTGTCTCATTTGCTTCAGCAAAAATTTACTCTTTCCTGTTGAAAGCTTGAAATAAGCCAGAGAAGATCAGCACATGTCAGAAGACTTGCAAGGTTCACTTTAGACTGAAAAGTAAACAATGATTCCCCAGTACTTATAGAAGTGCCACGTTTTGTAGTAAAAAATATTATGTACCTGCATAATCTGTTCTTGCATAATGCCCATCTTCAGATTTAGTAGTTGTAGTTGTGTTATCTGTGTTAAAAAATTAACAATAAAGATTGGTTAACTGTTTCCTAAATATCTAATGTTAAACTTATTTTATTCTTCCAACAGTATCTTCATTGCAATTAAGGAATTTTTACAACTATAATTCTAAGCAACCTTTATGCAAACACAGATTTATAATGCCAATTTCGGTTTGAAAGCGAATAGAATGATGGAAGCTTTCTAAAGTTTGGGACAAGAAGAAGGTTTATAATTATAACTGAGATTAAATTGGGTAAGAAAACAAGTCAAATTAAGAAAATGTTTCTGAACAAGAAAACAAAATAAAACATTCTAGTACATCCTGCTTTTAAAAATGCAATTAAAATATTTCTACTGAATCAATACATAAAAATGGAGTGATTTGCTTTTAATTTCAAGGTTGCCTAATAAATTCCTAAATTCTTTGTTAAAAATGCTTTTGACTTTCATTTTTCCCTTTTGCAAAAAGAAAGTCTGTTACCTTCTGAATATTGGCTTCTGTGTTTATGGCACTGTGAAGATACAGTCTTTTTACAGAAAAAGATATTGACGTTTCTCGATAGGCCCTCAAACTCCTGTAATCAACACAGATGCCACACTAGACGCTACTATCCATTGTAAATCAGAACTGTCTTTTGGAAATGAAATAGCTGCCTGATAAGAAGTTATCTTCACCTTTCATTTCTGCACAAAGACTAAAAACATTCTTTGAAATGAATTTTGGTAGGAACATTACCTTGACATCGACCCAAAGACATAACTTCAATTTTCTCCTGTTTCTGACATGATGCTTCTTTGATTTGACATGCATTATCATAAGATTTCCCATCAGAAGCACAGAGGGGATTGAAGTTAGTTTGAGAACAGTCAATGTTGCACACACACCTAAAGGAAGAAAGAAATGAAAATATGTAACATCAATAGTGTTGCTACCACATTATAAGTAAAACACAAATGGAAGAAATGCTAGGTTGGCAAAATTCAAGTTGGCAAAATTGAATTGTATCCTTCCAGGGAAATTTCTTCAAGTTTCTATCTGAGATGAAAAGAAACAGAAAACTAATCAAAAATAATCCAAACGACTGAGCAATAGATAACAAATGAAAAGGAAAAACTCAGGAAATAATCGTCAATCTCTGCTCTGGAACTTTAAAAAACATGTACATAAACTTCTATGCTGTTGCCTGAGAATGTGAATAGGCTGAGGTAGCCATGAAACCCTGCTTTAGAGTTTCCTTAAATGAAACCTTCCTGTTACTTCTTTTCTCGGGGTATTTGAGTGGTTAAAGCTTGAGGAAAATGACTCAGAGGGAAGTTAAGAGAAAGCAAACAAGTAAATTATTTAGAATGCAATCAGTAGTTAAATTTCTTCAGCATAAGTAAGGGTGCATATAAAATGTGCCAAAGGGAAACTTTCAGTGATCCTTAACATTATGGGGGCCCATAAAACCCTTTCAGAATCAAATGAAAACTAGATCTGTCTCCAGAAATACCCATCCTCATGTAAACAACCGTTTGTATAGAATTTCTGGGGGTTCTTGGCCTTTTCAGGCATAGTCCATGGACCCTTTCCCCCTATATACACTGCTCTTTTTCTACCTCTCATTTTATTTTATTTATTTATTTATTTATTTTTTAAGATGACCGGTAAGGGGATCTTAACCCTTGACTTGGTGTTGTCAGCACCACGCTCACCCAGGGAGCAAACCGGCCATCCCTATATGGGATCCGAACCCGTGGCCTTGGTGTTATCAGCACTGCACTCTCCCGAGTGAGCCACAGGCCGGCCCTACCTCTCATTTTAAATAACAAAATAATAAATACAAGTTGACTGTCACTCATAATTTTAATAGTTTTCTATAACTGAAATAACAATTTAGTGAATTAATGAGAATTAGGTCACCTAAACTAAAAGCATTAACTATTTTAAAGCAAACTTTATATACTTTTTCTTATGTTCTTATAATTCTCTGTATTTTACAATCTACATTGTTATTCAGAATATTGTGGGTTTTTTTGGTGTGTGTGTGCAAACATATTACTGCCTTAGAATATAAACTCATTTAAAATTTTTGTTAATATTTATATTATTTTTCTAAATAGATTATATGCTTCTTGAAGTCACGTATCCACATAGCACTTCTGTATGTCTTACTTAGGGCTGGGCGTGTAATATAATGATAACAATAAAAAGTCCAAAGAAATTCAGGAATGTACACCATATATATCTTGACCCAAAATAATCAGCAGTTCAGAAACCTATTTAATATCACAACACAATGGTGAAATGAGAATAGAGATGAAAAGAAAAAATTTGATTGAGTTGAATTGGCTAGAATCAATGTTTCAGTGAAAAATTCACTTATTAAAGCCATAGCACCAAATTGAACAATCAATCGTTCAGGCTACTTTACAAGATCCTCCTTTTCCAGTTGGCTAATTTGTTTCCTTTTCTTTGTTTTTTTTTCTTTTCAATTTGACTAATCTGATTTTGGTCCCACAAGTTTTCCGCTGCCATCTCTTCCCCTTCCTTTCTTTGCATTGCTTGCTCAAGGCCTCCTTTCAAGATTTGTTTCCCCTTTGGAAATTCCTGGCTCTTGCTGCCCCAAATAAAGCCTTTCAGGGAATGGCTATGAAAAAAGTATAGACATTTGGCATTTTTATTCTCATCTCAAAAGGAGGACATAGACATAGATTCCTTGATGTGAAAGTAAGGTTTAGTTTTCCTGGTTATAAGTTTCATGAAAGCATGAATTATATTGGTCTTTTTCTCTATTGCATACCCTCATTATATTTCCCTTATTCCTCCCTACTCTATGGAATTGCACATATTAAATAAATGCAAGAGTAAATTTAAAAAAAAAAAACTTGCTTGTGAATCTCAGCAATCATTGGAAATTGGAAATCTATGAAAAGTATTTTTCCATTTTTGAATACATGGAAGAAGCTTCAAAGGTTTGCTAAAATGTCTTGGAAACTATGTAGTCTGGGGAAAGGAAAATATGACTGGATTACCAAGGACCCACCATTTCTATATTCCCATAATATGAATGAGCTCTGTCTATATAATCACTATTTACTATATTTTGTGTATCCAAGTCTATTAGGCTTATTTTATTAG